GAGCTAACGGCACCTGCGCAACGTTCTGCCGAGCAGCTGGAGCATAACGGAGGTGTCCCGGAGTATCGCGGACGGTAAGTACGCACGTTCATGGTAGGCACCGGGCCATGTTGCACCGTACTGGTTGCAACGGGATCCAGAACCCACCACTGGAGGGGATGTGGTGAATAGGTAATTTGTGGGTGGGGTTAAGAGTATATATTACAATGATGTGGTTAACCAGGTTAGAGCTGACTTTTCTTTTTGCCTTTGTGCTGTTCGTCGTGTAGTGCCAGTTATCGCAAGTTTTGCAACGCTACAGACCAAGCATTTACAACATCTTGCTTCTCTTTTTGTGTCCTTGACAAACGCCGGAACGTGACACAGCCTTATAGCAATAGCAATAGCAGTTAGACTTATATACCGCTTCATAGGGCTTTCAGCCCTCTCTAAGCGGTTTACAGAGTCAGCATATCGCCCCCTACAACAATCTGGGTCCTCATTTCACCCACCTCGGAAGGATGGAAGGCTGAGTCAACCTTGAGCCAGTGAGATTTGAACCGCTGAACTGCACATAACAGTCAGCTGAAGTGGCCTGCAGTACTGCACCCTAACCACTGCGCCACCTCGGCTAGAAGATCATGAGAAGTTGTATCCTAAACATTCATGACTTTTTAGGCCTAAGACCAATGAAATAAAGTGCTTGAAGTAATATCAGATCCTTCTGTACAAAATCCAAAGGGACAATAAAAGGGATTTACCTCAGACTCTTAAGCAGAGAAGCCCAGCGAACACTGGAATCAGAAAAAAACTGTGCATGGGCATGTTAAGAGTCAAAACTTTCTCAGAACTCTTCCCTTTTTCTGCAGTTTGCTTTCAGCTTCTTTTTTCTGTCACCCGCAATTACAGCTAGTCAACCTTGTGTTTAAAGTCTTTCCTTTGCCATAAGATCACCCAAGGGCATTTTACAAGCCATCATATCTTAGATAGAAAGCAAACAATTGTTTTTTGAGAGGACTAAAACTTAAATTTGCGAAGGTTTCCATTCCTGTATATTACACGTGTCCCTGGTTTTCATTTGTTCCACAGTTGTTGTTGGTTGCAAAGTCGCGTCCGACCCATCGCGACCCCATGGACAACGTTCCTCCAGCCTTCCTGTCTCTACCATCCTCTGGAGTCCATTTAAGCTCACACCTCCTGCTTCGGTGACTCCAGCCAGCCAGCCATCTATCTTCCCCTTCTTTTTTTGCCCTCAGTCTTTCCCAGCATTAGGCTCTTCTCCAGGGAGTACACAGTTACACTTACAGAACAGAGGCTTCCCCCTTTTTGGGGGGGTAATAAAAAAACCTGCTCATCCCACAATTAGAACTAGCAAGCTCTAGTTCAAACTTAACAAGGTATTCTGCTTCACATTTCAAAAATTATTCTCCTTTCAGGAAAAATCATATAAGAATTGCCAAGGTAGTATATATATAAAGCGCTTTCCAAAGTGATTTTTAATGTCTACTGGTGCTACTAACAACCACTATCACCTTGTTTATTATAACTGCTTTTATGTTATTTTCAAATAACCCTTTCGATTTCAGTCCAGCAGAGAAGCGAATCTCATGAAAATCCTGGAAATCCTTCCTGTCTGTTCTTTATTTGTTAATCCTGTTAACCCTGTTAACCCCACTAGCAAGCATTGGTACTCATGGTAAATTATGGGAAAGGCAACGAGTAAAAACCCATGGAAGCTGGCTCGATTGGGTACGGTAGGTGCTGGTGGCTAAACTCATCTGCATTCAAAGGAAAGGTTGTGATAGGAGAAAACCTGTCCCAGAAATAAACTAAACGCAGGAAAGATTCTGTGATCCCCAAGTGATACAGGGTGGCAGGCAGCCGTTTATACAAGTCAATTTTTTTTAAATGTCTGCAGCTTTTCTGACTCTATGGATGAGTCCTTGCATCATCCAGTTTCCTGATTCACACATACATTCAAATGTCTCTATATTTATTATTTTACCCCCTGTTTGGCCTCAAGAGGTGTGAATATGTTGAAAAGCATTTCCTTGGAGGAGCGAAAAAAAGGATGCTCGGGTGGGGACCAAATGATACCCTGTTTATATATGTGAGAATAGAGAAACAGTCCCACTATTTTAAGAAACAGGGCTATTTAATGAATCCACACACTAAGGCTGACTCTAATAACTCTCCCTCACCGCCCCTCCCAATTCTGGCCAGCAATCCAAAAATCCCTCCCTGTAAGGAAGAGTTTCTATTTACTGTACTTTTTTTTTATTCTGACATTTATTTATCTCGCACCAGTATCCAGCAAAGCTATGGGGGATGCATATTTTGGGGCCCAGATACAGCCTCGCGATTGACCTTTCCGCTTAAAAATAAATGCACTCACTACTGAAGTGCGAACGCAGCTCTACCAGGGCAATTGGCAGCCAGCTTTTTGCTTTTTTCCCCAAGATTGTCACAAGGGCAAATTCAAACACAGCATACAAAATGTGCAAGTTGTTGCTGAGCAGGAATTTGCCAGGCGAAACACACCCCAGCTCATCCCAGCAGATCAAAGAGGTTGGCCCTTTGGACAAGGAGAATCCCAGTGGTCCTCCGACTAGCTGGGAGATCAAACCAGGATGGGGTGATGGTAGGAAGTGGGAGAACCACCGTGGAAGTATCACAACTACAATTTGTGCTGTTGTCCTACAGTGTATGTCATAAGCTACAGTTGCTTAGCTTTAATTGACTCTTTAAACCATAAACTGGAGCATACACTACATCAAAACCAAATGAACCACCTCACGACTATGTGAGCCTGACCATTTTACCTTCCCATCATCCCTTCTATTTTTTTTTCTGACCACAGGCCTCTGCTTGCTGAGCCTTGAATAAAACATGTCTCTTTGTTGCAGCAGAACAGATGTGGATGCAACTAGGAAAATATTTGACCTGGTGGGGGTAGTGCAATGTCTCCCAAAACACTCTTTCCACCCCCACTGAAGAGGAAACATGCTATATAGAAGGTTGGGAAGGGGTGGGAGAAGGGAAAGGAGGTAAAATGAAATATATTTTCACTTAGAATGGCAACGTAGCTCAAGCTGGCAGGAGCGTTAATGGGCTCACAGCTTACTTACTCAACTCCGAGTCTATGTCCATTGCACTCTCTGCAAGAGAGAGAACAAACACAACCCACTGTATGAAGGACCAGGGAGTTGCCCAAGATCAAACAGAGCTGGGAGCTAGGCTGATGGTTTGTTCCTGTCCAAATGAGCAGCATCTCTTTTGACTACCCTTAATTTCAAGGAAGTGATCTGCAGGGGTTGGTCCAATCCTTGCAGACACAGTGAAGGCCACCGGAATTAAATCTCTCCAAAGAAGCACCCCCAGATTGTATGCCCATAAGAAGGAGGTCTTTCCTTGGCTGAGATTAACACTTCCTTAAATGGCTCATGGTGGACCTAAGAACAGGGCTGAATATAAAGCACCTTCTACAGTAATGAAAACACTGCTACATCAGACCATGATCCCATTCCAGCTAGTCCAAGCTCCCTGTCCTCCACTCAGCTGCTCCTGGGAAAGCTATAAGAAGGACAAACCAAAAGTCTCTTCACATTGGTGTTTTCCAGCACCTGGGATTCGGTGGCATGTTGCTTCTGGCGGCAGTTTCCCTAGCCATGAAGAGATCTCCCGCACAGGCTGGGACTATGGCAAGCAAATGCCATGCATTAATAATGATAGCCAATGCTGTTTATTTTCCTGCTCTGAATTGGTTGCCAATTGGATTAAATCTATGGCTCTCATGGGAAACAGTATATGCATTTGTTTGAGGAGGAAACCAGAGAAATCTTATGCATTCCAGAGTATTTCCATTTTACTTCAGCCTCTTTCTGAAGCTGTGTTATTTTAGTCCCTGAATTTATAACTTCTAATTATGCAGCACATATAAACAGGACAGACTTTTTCGCTCAGATACTTGCATAAACGCCCAGAATTTGAACGTCATTGCTGACACATTGTCAACAAGGCATTGTCTTATAATATTTCTATAACTTTCCAGCATACTTCAACACTGGGACTACCAGGAAAGTTTTCCCTTTAATCCCGACTGAGATTTCAGTCCATGGGGGGGGGGGGATTTTTGAGACAATAGAAGGATAGGGAAAGGAGACCTTTTAGCCTCTGGCATCCTCAAACCTCATATTCTGCCAGCTCCACGTTGTAGATTGTGTGATATACACAAAATGCACAAAATGCTCTTTGAACAAATCAATCGGATGTTATTTAGGCACAACACAAATCAGCTGAGCATCAACTGAGTATCAAACACTCTCCATAGTTCTCCAGTCAATCAAATCTTTCACCTTGTAAAACATTGTAAAAGAATACAATGGGGAGGAGAAGGTGGAAAAAGCAACTCAAAAGAAAGTCATGGGCTGCAGAGAAAGATGGATAAAGGGAATTCTTGATAAGAGGAATAGACAAGGAGTGTTAAAGAGATCAATTAAGGGTCTCCCAAAAACGTATTTTCCACAACCATGAGGATTGGCTATTCTTAGATGCCAAATTCATTGCCCATATCTCCAAAAGGTCCCAACCTTGTGTCTGAAGCCACAATTCACTTTTGCGACAGTGTTTCTGCAGGGACTCCTGCAGAGACAGTCTATTCCAGAGATGGTCATTTGGCAATTGGCAGTGAGAAGAAAGTAAGTGATTTTCTGTGCAGACAGAATCTCAAGGAAGTTGCGCCTATAGCTGTGACGGCACAAAGCACAAAAGCACACACATCAAGGTCCAAAGACACCAACTAATAGCAGGGCAATCTAACAGGAGCCTATTACGCACGAATGAGCACATATGAATGCACTGTTGCAGACATCCATGAATAAATGGATGCCTTTCGCATTCATGATCTTATGGGTATGCTTAAACATATGCATATGGTCCACATAACACCAATCCTGTGACTGTGTGCAGACTAGTCAATTTATAGTGTCCCTGCTTTGGTAAATGAGATGGATATCCAGATACAAGCTTCTTCAAAACCCTTTAGCCTCTCAGTGCATCTGATGCCCAAACGGAAGTATCACTGCCTGCAAGTGCGTGCAAAGTAAATTTATTTTCTGTGGAATAGTGCTCCCGGCCTCTTTTATTTAATGCTCTCTTATATACACATATACACACACAGAGGAATATATACTCACAGCTGCTCTTGATCACCCCAGCTTTCCCCAAACATGGTCCTATTCCAGTCCCCTTGTCCTAAAGATGCTTCTAAACTTTCTGACCATCCAGTGTCAAGAAAATAATTACACTCACGCCGTTGTCCATCAAGCAACACACGCCCTCCTCCCTCTTCAAGATGAGCACCCACCCCACTTCTTTCTTCGATTGGATGCTCCGGTACCCCCGCCTTATCCCCCCATCGTCTGCCTGCCCAGCCAATTGTGAATCCCACTCCCCAGCCTCGGCCCAAAGATCCAGCCGCCTCCCCGCTTTGCTTTCCCCGTCCTACCTGGGGTGGAGCTGGGCGTCCCTCCCCCACCTGGGGCTGGCGGGGCTGGCTACGTTACTGCTTGCCGCGGGGCAGAGGATCGGCCGTTCGGGATGGCTCAGCCATGGCACGGAGTTGCCCGCCTCTGCGCTTCCTGGCAGAGTCTGAGCGCTGCCTGCGCTGGCAAAGAGCCCAAGTAGCGGAAGGCAGGAGCGGGAGGGAGCGGCAGCTGGGAGGGGGGAACGGAGCGAAGAGAGACCCAGAGCCACGCGGAGGAGAGCTAGGGTTGGAAGAGGGGCGTGTATGCAGGGCAGATCCTGGCCACGGCGGGCAAGCGTGTCTTTTTTCCCCCCGAGGTAAGGGCTGGCCTTCCCACTGCCGGCTGTCTGGAGGGGCGCCCAGAGACGCGCTGCCCCGGAGCCTCACCTGCGCGGCGCGCTTTCGCTCGGCTTCTCCCCGCCCTTGGCTGGTGAGGAGTTGCGTGTGTGGGAAGAGACTCCCCGCCGACCAGCATGGGCTTGCAAGCAGGTGCCACTTTGCTCCTTGCCGGGGGGGGGGGGCGATCGATGGGCACAAGGGGGTCTCTTCGGCGGGGGATGGTGGTGAGGGGGGGCTTGAGAAGTTGGAGTGCGGGCAGCCGTGTGTGGGTTTCCCCGAGGAAACGGGGCGTGGGTCGACGCGCGCGTAACCCCCCCGCGCACAAGGCGGCCCTGTTGCCCCGGCGGATCTTGGGGAGGCTCTCTGCCTTGACTTCAGAAGGTGGGCCTGGTGGTCACAACTACGGGCAAGTTCCAAGGGAGCTCCTCTGGGCTCCAGCCTTCTTTCGACGTCTTCTTTCCAGGGGCGATTCCAAGATTTGTGGTCGGTCCAGGGTTTAATCCCCGGACGCGAGAAAACAAAAGCAGCTTTTCTACAGATTAGAAGGGCGGCTACAGCGTGGCGTGGGGTGCGCGGGCAAAATGCATGGAGGCATTGGTTTTACAGGATGGCCGGAGCCTTGGATTGCATTCACTTTTCCTGGATGTATGTGCATGTGCTGGAGCGGGACGTGTTTCAAATTACAGGCCTGCTCAACAGAGGGGTTGGGGGTTAGCCCTTCAGCAACAACCCAGCTAAAAAGAACAGAAATTCACGGTCTTCCAGCTCCTCTTCACAGGAACCAAAAAAAAAGGGGGGGGGAGTCAGATACAGCCAAGAATAGAATGGCACAATATAAAAAATGATTGGATCAAGGATTGTTGATGGAGAATGAGGCACAGAGTGAGAAATAACTGGACCAGGGCCTGGGTTGAAACTTGAGATGCCCAGATGAGGGGAAAAAAGGGGGGAAAACGGGTTTCTAAAAAAAATTCACTATCTGGCCTCCCCAGGGTTGGCTGCCATCACCTAACTGCGCATAAGCAATCATACGCATCCTAGCCGGGTGCATCCAAGCATTTACTCCTTCGTGGCATTGTGTAAACAAGAACAGGGCTTTTTTTTTTTTCTTTCCAAAAGCTGAATATTTGGAGATATAATTCTGGGCACACAGGGAGCTGAATATACCTCGCCCGAAGTCTGTTATTGCAGTTGTGTCAGGTGCCCCCATCTCACCCTAATGCATAAGTGGGATGAGTTGTGCAACTCACGGTGTTCTTCTGCACATCCAACCACTTTCTTCCGAAGAGAAGGAGCGCGCTCTGTGTAAGGGTGGGGAGGGGCGACACGGATGAGGAGTTCAGAGATATGTAGCTGAGTTGGAGTGCTAATGAGAGCAGAGATCCCTGGAGGTGGGGGGGGAGGTGGGGGTTTGTTTGGGAGTCAGACACCATTAGCCATAGGCCCCCCAAGGATCAGGTCACTTGCTTTAAAGCTTCCCCCCCGCCAAAGCTTAGTTTAGTTTTGCCTTCTATTTCTATGTTTATTTATTTCTAAACAAAATGGGGATAAGTGGCTGAGAGGTACCTGCCTTCACTCACCGCAGACAGGTGGAAATAGATTCACACCTTAAACTTCAAGCAGCTTCCTCTCATCTGTCCATACAAGCTGTACAGCTTTGCAGCCATTAGTGGCTGACGCTCATCTCTGTATTAGGAAAAGCTAGAGCTGATTTCTGAAGCTTAAGCTCCAATTGAAAGGCAGCAAGACAGTCTCTCCCTCTCTTTGTGTGCGCTCGCGCGCTTCAAAAGTGGTTCTTTTTCCCCCCCTGATCAACAGGGCATTCCAGTTAATAAGACCCATCGCTTTGTAAATTCAGTCACATCATGCGGTAAAGGCTTTGAATTGACTGCAGCCCAAGAGGCAGGAAGAATGGAGAAGTTACACAATTCTCACTCTCACCTGAACAATAAGAACGTTTCTCTGTGCGTTTCTCTGTGCGTTAAGAAAAGGAAGATCTGTTCATTGCCAGCAGAAAGCGAAATTGTTAAATGTTCTTCATCTGATGAATATTTGGTATTGCATCTTCTGCAATTTGAACATTTTCAGACTTTTTCCCCCCGTTTGGATTCTCCACCATATATAAACCCCATGAAACCCACACATTAGCACATATAGAGTGACCATGGAAGCACAAGCATATGCACCTTTAATAGCATGTGGTTCAAACCTTTTCTGAGAGATTTCAAACTTTCCAACTCTGCGGTCTTTTGCCAAGTAGCATCCTGGCCCAATTCTGCCTCAGTTCCAAGTTCAAACATGGACCCATTGATGCTACCACCTGATTAATCCTGATTTATGGTGCAAACTGCAGTGGATGAAGTTCATGTTACAAAGCCAAGTAAACCATAGACGTATATGCATTTAGCCAAGAGTAGGTTGAAACATGGCCCCATTTGTAGGATTATACCTACAGGTCTTTGCAATATCAAGTCAAATTCTGTTGGCCATGTTGAATGGAATATGATGGGAATTGTGATCCAAAACATCTGCAATGCATCTCCTTCCCCAAGTTGTAGAGGACTGCCAAAGTTGAAGTATTGGGGGTTGAAGGGTTGGGGGTAGACTTCTTCCCTAAGCTATATCTCAAACTCCTTAGGGTTTGGATACCTTAAAACAAGATTATTAGAGTAATTTAACTGGCAATTGCCAGATTTTGGTTGGAACATTAACAAAAATAACACAAAGATGTGATTCAAAGAATGAGGCATTTAAAAAAAGAGGTCAGAATGACTAAGTTTACATCTGGCTACTAGAGCTGTAATTGAAAAAGTTTATTAGAAACCATTTTTCTGGTCAACTTGATTGATGACTAGGAAACTTCTTTTGCAATCATATCCTTCATTGAGGGCCCCCAATAAAGGAGAATATTTGTAGCTCAAGGTTGAAATGAGGAGTCCTTGGTGCTCTTGGAGCTGGGTTGTTTTCTTGAGATGTTTCATTACCCAAACTAGGTAACATCACCAGTGCTAGTTTTTATTCTTTTATTTTCTGCATTCTCTCCCCCTTTTGACATTGAGGCAGTATACATGATTTCTCAAAGTATGTCATCTCAACTGTGGAACAATGTCATATAAACCCAGCAACCTGTCATTTTAGACTATCAGAATATTGCAAGGACAACATGGATAGGAAGGAGACCTTGAAGAAAGGCAGATGATGATGCAGAGAATGTTTCTTAAGAGTCCCAGAGGAGAAATAGCAATAGCAGTTAGACTTATATACCGCTTCATAGGGCTTTCAGCCCTCTCTAAACGGTTTACAGAGTCAGCATATTGCCCCCAACAACAATCCGGGTCCTCATTTTACCCACCTCGGAAGGATGGAAGGCTGAGTCAACCTTTGAGCCAGTGAGATTTGAACTGCAGAACTGCAGTCAGCTGAAGTAGCCTGCAGTGCTGCATTTAACCACTGTGCCACCTCGGCTCTTTAAATCATGGGGCATCCATGTTCCATGAGCCTCTTTTTTGAGTTCTCCAAACTCTTCCCAGCATTCTTGTTCTGAGACTGATTATGCCACTCCTACTCTGGCAGCCATTTTTCTAATGGGCAAGCACCCTTATTCATGGTAGCCGTAGCATCTGCAGAAGATTCTTAACATTTTGTGCCCATTGGCTCAAAATGTTGAGAATCCTGGCACAGTGAATACATTGATTCAATCTCCCATGACTACCGATTACGATTTAAACCCAAACGTTGGTCTATTGTTGTGAGTAGCTTTAAACTTTCTCATTTTCCTTTACATCATCCGCAAGTGTTTTGAGCCTTCTCACTTCTTCGGGAAACCCTCTCGCACACGACCAAGGCATATGTTAACAGGGAACACAATCATTTCTGTGAACCCCAGACCGTGTTAGCTTTTATTATCTCCCTTTCTTCCACCTCCCTCCCCCCCCCACCATCCCCAGATTTAACTCACAACCTCCATATGTCTGTCTGCCACACATCGAAAGGAACTCAGCCACCGTTGGGGCAGGCCTAGCAGTGGAGCCGTCTACAAAGCTTCAACATGTTGGCAAGATGATATCACAGCTCTGCCTTGGCTGTGAATGGAGATTAGCACCATTTGCTGAATGGGAACAGCTGTGCCTGAATTAGGAACTGCTATTCCCAGAGAGAGTGTAGCAAAACCTGGTGAAGAAGCTAAGAAGGTGAGGAGTTAGGATGCTTGGGTACCAGCCACAGCTGAGAGGGGAGAAAAAGAGGATTGAAGCACACACGGCAGGGCAGGAATGGAGAGGAGGAGGAAACCCTTTGTGCTCATTTTAAGGAGTGGGGCAAAGACAATGAGAAGGCGAAGTTCCCAAAGCATTGCCTGCTGCACTCCCACGGCTGTGTGTTTGTGAAGCCCGTGTGTGTGTATGTGCGCGTGCATTTCACACAAGAATACATGTGAGTCATAGCTGCTTTTTGAGATGCAGTTTCTTCTCCCTCCCTCCCTCCACCAGACCAACAGTTTCTGGTTCTTGCTCTAAACCTGAGTTGCACAACTCAAGGGAGGCCGTTCTTCTAGGCATGGAAAGATCTGCAGAGCAAACCTCTCTCGGGCTGCTATGGAGAAGAAAACACGCAAGGAAAGCTGTGAGCGTGNATTATATAATTTTTAAGGTACTTTTTTTCATTTCCCTTGTTTTCATTTCACAATTGTTTTATCACAGGTATAAGATCAAATAATTCTTATATTAGTATAACATCAAAGATACTAAAGGGAAATAACTGTGGGAGTCATAATTCAAATATGTG